CACCTGTTGCCAGTATGTATTGCATGGGACAGGGCTACTCTTGTAGACCTGGATATGACCCAAGAAAATATGGGCCAGACTTGGACTTGCATGCTTGAAAGTGCCAAAAATCCTTAGAATATAAGAAGAGATTTCAGTAAAAGGACAAACACACGACAGTCCTAAAAGGGAAAACTTGGTCCTATAAAGGCATAAACTTTCTCCTCCAAATGATTATATACATGCAACATAAACCAACCAAAATTTCTCTGATATATTTTGGAAGACTTTACAGAATGGTTCCAAAGATTAGAAGCATAGAAGAGCAAAGAATATCAAGAAGATTAGGAAATTTTCAAAAAGGACAGAGATTTGAAATCTCAGATATTTAAGTACAGTATCATCAAATATTTACATATTCTATCAGTTTATAGCACTGTAATCCTGGCAGCTCAATAAAGGAAATAAGAACTAGTAGAAATAAGAATTTAGTATATGATGAAGAAAGAATTATAAATAAGGAGAAAATGAACATATCAGTAAGTATGTGATGTTGGGGTCACTTTTAAAATATATAAAATGAAACGTCTATTTTATATTTTATATCAAAATAACTACTGCATGCCTCACAGATTTAAATGAAAAAATAGAAATCAATAAAGTGACATGAAATTTATTGTTGAATATTTATAAAATTTTGGACTAGGGAAGTCTTTCTAGGATCGGAATCATAAAGAAAGAGAACAATGATTTGGTGATAAAATCTTCCATTTATCCAATATAGAGCAAATTCACAAACTGGGAAAAATGATTCCAACAAGTAGTAGCAATAATTGCAAATGACATATACATAATCTTTATAAGATCAGTAAGAGAAGAAAACAATCCAAAAGAAAAGGAAATTCAAGCTAAGGAAACAAAGGGACCAACTCCCAAGAGACAGTGCAAACTCTCCCCATGTCTCATGTTGGCAAAGAAAAAAAGATGATGGTCCTGCTCCTCAAGGGCACAAAGAAATGGGCAGTGGAAGCAGACACGTTTCCTGAGGGAAGACTGGCCATGGTGAACTAACTTGAAATCAGGTGGATCTCTGCACTTACCTACCTCCTCTCAGTAGCTCAGAGAGCCACAAAGCGGAATGGAGATTACCAAGGGCCAGGGGAAGGAGAAACAGAGTTGCTACGGGTGCATGGTGTCAGTTTGGGACGATGTAAACACTCTGGACGTGGGCAGAGGTGGTGGCTGCGTGACACTGTGAGGGACTTAATGCCACTGAACGACACACTTCATAAGGCAAAAGTGGTGAATGGTGTGCTCTGTGTATTTTACCTCTATTTTTTCACATTTAAATTCAGTGCATATGAAGTTCATCAAGCCATCATTCTCCTACTATTAAGCAGTTAGGTTTTTCCCCAAATTTTTACTATTAAATATATTACTATGATAAAGAATAAAAAAGGACACACTTTGACCCACGCTGTTTATTTGTAGGTGTTTATCCTATGCCCCCAATAAAGAATTTGTATATAGAAATACATTTTCCTTCTGGCATTGGCTGTAATGGCAAGAAATAACTAAGATGTGAAATTGATCAAGTGCGTTTTGTTACATAAAGAAAAATCAGGCAGTCACTGCAAAGTGTAATGCAGACCTACATGTAAAGGGGCAAGAGGGGATGATTTAAATAACACGTGCGGCTCGGTGAACGTTGAAGGAATGAATGTTCCACGCGTGGCCAGCACAGCATCTAGAAAATGGGCAGCAGGGTTTGCCAATGGTTATCTCAGAGCAAACAGGGTTTTCTTACTTTTTGTCTTTTTCTTGCTTGTGGTATTTTCCACTTTTTCTAAATGAACATAAACTCTTTTTGTTAAAGGAAATAAATTAATGAAAGAAACCTAACTTGAAAGAAAATGCAAAGAAACCTCTAGTTATCTTCTCTCTCTCAGAAGTAACACTGCGCCTCTGTGTACTGTCAAAAACGCCCCTTTCACAAAGAGAAAAAGCAAACAGTACTGGCCCACCATCTATAGGTTGTTTATTGTGTGGGCCAGGACATGATTCCCTGATCTAAATCAGGAGAAGTTACACTATATTAAGGCATCCCCTTGGGCTTTGTGTCTGCTACGTAGCTGGCCTTAGAAGGTATACTGTCTCCTTCTCATAGGGGGATGGGATTTCCTTTGCAAATGAGGAAGATGCTGTCCCCAAAGAGTAAGACTAAGCTGGGCGTACCAGCACTGGCCTGTAATTCCACCACTGCAGGAGGCTGAGGCAGGAGGATCACAAGTGCAAGCAAGCCAAGCCTGGATTACTTAGCAACTTAGCAAGACCATGTCCAGAAATAAAAAATCAAAAAGGGCTAAAGATGTAGCTCAGTTCAAAAGCTGTGCCTTTAATCCACAATACCAATGAAATTTTTTTAAAGTAAGGCTGCACACAAAGTATGTGTAAAATTAGAGGAAGAAACCATATTGTCTTTGGGAATATCCCAAAGCCTATGCAGGTACAGAAGGAATAACACTTGATTTTTAAAGTATGGGCAAAGAGATCCAAGCTAAAGGCATTTTCGGTTGGTGGTCCCACACAATAGGTTATAAATCTGGAACAGGAAACTTAAAATCATTAAGGTCACATATTTATAACATCATATTCAATTAGGTTAGAAAAGTGCAATATCTGTCATCATGTCATAAAAAGATGTGTTTTTCTCTCAGATCTCTTAGAAAGGAAAGCTCCCAATATTGTTACAGATAGGACTGTTTTCAATCAGTTACAAGAAGCAATTCAATTACAAGAGGGTTTAGTGCAGTAACTGACTCCAGACTAATTTAATTTCTTTAGGTCTCTAAAGATCAATTGATCTGATTTGTCCCATCCCCAAAGGCTGTTTAGGAAAACTCAGCCTTAAATACCTGGAAGTGAAATCCAAAACCCTGGCCACTTTCACACTCCTGAGGTCATCTTGCAAACTTTCAGCTGCTCGCACAGCGCACTTCTTGGCCCTCAGACCCTGAAGTGACTTCGCCTCACATGTGCATGCTGAGTGCTCCAGGTCAGGACGCTTATTCAGTGAGTGGGAACTGTGGCTGTGCGCTCTATCAAATCTGCTCTTCACGCAGCCAGCAGGCTGGGTCCTCCACCTCATGCCCAGGAGTGTGACTGCAAGGCCACTGTTACCCTGGAGGAGCTCATGAAGACCAGGAAAACTAGACTTAGGTGGGAACAAACTGTCCCATGCAAGGCTCATCTCGTAAGATGAGGAACTTGGCACTGTCATGCACTCTGTGACTTATGCAGTGCTTCTGTAATGCTGTCTTAACTGAGGCTCCAATCAACCTCTGAACCAGGGGCTGTTGCCTGCATTTCCTAGATGAAGAAACAGACTCTCTAGTTCAGCGACTTCTCCAGGCTCAATCCCCAGGAAAGGCAGAGCTGCGCCTCTTCCCCAGGACGATTTCCTCCCAGCAGAGCTAGCTTCCCGCCCACCTGTGACCTAAGGTGTGACAGGCACTGTGACAGTGCAGCACTGCTGCCCGCACCCCGCCCCCAACTCCCCTCCTACTGGAATCCCCAGTAAACAGAAAAAGATCACTGAAACTCATCCCGCCGCACAAACTCCTCTGCATCAGAGCTTCTGACACTCAGAAGAGAATGCAAAAGTCATTCCTAAAGGAAGGCGCCTTTGTAAGGAGCCTGCTTGCTGCCCGGGCTGCTGGGAGCACTTTCTTGCCGACTTCCGCCCCCGCGCCAGAGAGCTTTCCACTGCCTCCTTCCGGCACTGTGCAGTGGATTCTCCAATCACCAGCCCGGTCTCTTTCCCTGATCTCATCACCTGCACCCTCTTCAAATAATTAATCTCTCTTTTTGACCCAAATGGCAGTTCTGTCCAAAGTTCAGTGGGTCCTATTGACTTCTCTGCCTCCCCACCAAGCCTCTCTATGTTTCCCCACCCCACCAACTACATCCCCGTGCTCTGCCACTGGGGAAAGCTTAGGACAAACCAGACCTAGGCTGCTGAAACATGGAACTGGCCCTTACGTGGAGTTGCCGGGAGAGGCTGGCAGAAGTGCAGAGGTCAGCTGTGGCCATATGGTAGGCAACAAAGAGTTGGCCCAGTGGCAGAAATGTGCCCACGTGGTGGGGAAATCACACAAATATGAAGATACAAGGAAGCAGATGGCTGCTGTCTCAGTATTCTGCCTGCCCATCAGGATATTGGGCCGCTAAAAATATTAAGTGTAGAAAGCTAATGTGTTTAAGACATACAAACGAAGCACAAGTTGGCAATCTCTCTGAAAAAGACATTTTTGACACTCGCATCGGACAAACTATGGATTTTTTTTTTTTGTCTTTTTGAGACAGGGTCTCGCTGTGCAGTTCATGCTGGCCTTGAGCTCACTTTGTAGCCCAGGCTGCTCTCGGACTCACAAGAATCTTCCTGTCTCAGCCTCCCGAGTGCTGGGATTACAGGTGGGCGCCACCATGCTTGGCTAAACTATGGATGTTGATATGGTCGTGTTCATCACCGCGGTGGGCGGTCTCAAACCACAGGAACCATTGTAGTTGAAAACAGTGGGGTAATTTACAGGTCCATGATTACCACTTGTCTTTCTATAGGTCCTGATGTTCCTCCTATGACAGATAGCCAGTCTATTCTAGGGGTAATTGTGAGACCTTGAGGTAAATGACATCACCTTGTTTCAAAATTCAAAATTGCCTTTCCACTCTGTGTTTGCAAATATGTTCACTTCAGAAGGCAAAAGGCCACCATGGTCTCATTTCTCTGCAGACTGCCTTGTCGAAACGTGGAGCTTATAACATCAAGAGGACTAAGTCTTTGACAACATCAGCCCTATGTTTATGGTCAGGAAGTGCCCTGACCAAAGCAATGCCTTCACGTAGACACTGAGCGCATGACAGTTCCACGCAGTGCTCGCGGGTTCCCTGCCGTCACAACCCATGTGTTTTTACAAACTCACTCTTATCAGGACAAAAAGTAAACAGAAAATTCTCATTACCTCTCAATGTCAGTGAGCCTGGAGGAGTCCCGGAAGCCTTTGGCAAAAGGATTACTGTCTATTTTCAGCTTGGTTATCTGGAAAGGAAAGAATGAGTATAAAACAATCTCATTTCCGAGGTCAAAGAGGTAAAACCCTAAACAGAAATTTTTTTCATTTCCATAGCACGCCAAGAGCATTGTGATGTCTCTCAGCACCGTGACCAGGGTTTAAAGTGCTAGGCAAGTTGACAGGAAGATGGGTCACAGCCAAGCTGGACCCAGTGAGGTTGGGGGCCTTTCAGGCGAGGTGGACAAGAATGGGGATGTGACATGTGACACAGAAGTGACAGGTGATGGCTCAACTGGGGAGGCGGGAGCCACCTTAACAGGAGCTGGGTAGAATTCCAGCATTCCAGGAAAAATAGGAAATAAAAAGCAAAAACATTATCTCATGCTGACTTGGCAAGACCTTTTGTGAAGACTATGAGCATGTACTCACACCAGGGTGGGTAAAGATGAAATGTCCAGTAGTAGCAACATGTGCAGTGCTACAGTGACATACGTGACAGAAACACATGATCCAAAGCCTTCAGAACATAAATTCATTCCCACCCCACACACATTTGACTAAATTAGAATCTAATTAGTCCACCCTTTGTTTTCCTCCAGTACAATGTAATTTACAGAATGCTATGTTTCTATAGAAACAAATACTTTCTAGTAAGAATTGCTGTCACAAGCATTGAGCGTCTATGCCAGGGCATCTGTAATCCTGCAGGACTCCATGAATGCAGGAAGTTTCCACAGACCACATGTACCCTGCCTCCTCAGGCCGTGAGGCAGAAGTAGAGGAGATGCTGGCTCAAACCTCGTGGAGAATCCTGTGAGCGCTGAAAGGAGCTTAGAGACCATGAGCCCACCCTGACTGACAGATGGTCACACTGAGGGTCAAAGAGGGTGAGGACCAAGACACCCGAGTCAGTAACCGAGAACCCGGGGAGAGGCCCTCAAGAGAATCGGAGCTCATGAGCATCAGAAGCAGCGCCCACATTCATGTTTGGAGAGAACTGGACACAAAATGCCCTGAAAGAGGAAAAAGTTATGGGGTGGAGGTGAGGCCTGTCGTCCTCTCTGAGAGTAAGGAGCCAATGAAACTCAGAGTTTGAAATGTTACTTCCCCATAAAGCAACCTTTCCTCAGACTAGAGTATACCCCCAGTTCACTATAAACCATTACTGCCCCCCAAATTCTCTTTTTACTACAAGAAAAAGATTTTTTTCTTCTGCAAGTTTTGCAAAAGTGAGTTGAACCTGCAGAACTGCAATAAAGCTACGCTGATCCTCAGCCTCCCCCTGACCTTAACCCTCCTTTCCAGGGGGCCTCCCCACCAGAACAATTGGAATCTGGTGCACTGCTCTTCTCTGTCAGGAACACTGGCACCTGCAAGAGGGATTCTGGGAAAATATCCGTCTTGAAGGGCATTTGAAAGTGTCTCCAAAGTGCTCGCTATAGTTCATGAACATTTTCTGTAGAGCAGCTAAGAAAATAACTAATTTCCATTTCAGCCTAGTTATAGAAATCAGTAGAGAAGCAAGGAAATAGAAACCTGTTTGCAATGGAGAGCAAAGCCCTGTAGAATATGCACCTGAAGAAATGTATAGGAGTCAGCCAGGCAGGGTGGGGCACACATGCAATCCCAGCTCTTTGGGAGGCTGAGGCAGGAGGACAGCAAGTTCAAATCCTACCTGGGCATCTTAGTCTAACTCTGTCTGAAAATTAAAAAATTATAAAAGGACCAGGGGATGCAGCTCGGTGGAAGAGGGACCTTGGGTTTGATCCCTAGTTCCATGGGGTTGGGGCATGTGTCACAACAGTGCCACCTCTACAAGGTGCCCATCAAGTGTTTGTAGGGAACCTTGTCTTGCACAGGGCTGCTGCTTCCTAAGGAGCTGTCTGCTGTGGACATTGTTTTGAAGGTCAGCTTTTGGGAAGAAAGAAAAATTTGTATTCATTTGAGGTAAACTGTAAACATCTTTAGCCCTGGCAATGCATTTGTTTTAAGCTTCTAGGTACCAACAAGACTTAAAAACCCTCAAAGACATGCGCTGAGTCCCTTTCTACAGAACAATTTAAAATATGTTCTATTTCCAAAGCGCTTCACAGTTCACAAAAACGCTTTCACAATCTTTCATCAGCAACTGCCTACTTCATGGGGACTGGCGACCTCACTAGCGCACTGATCTCTCAGCACACTGACAGATGCCAATAGGATATGGATAAAGGACCTGGGGTTTCTTAGCTAAGGACACTGAGCGTCCTGAGCAGGCAGAGTCACCTGCTAAGCAGGACGAGAAGGAGGCGCCCATCCCACAGAGCCAGGGACATGAAGGGTGAATCAAACCCTGATGAAAATTCCCAACTGGAACCACGGGACAGAACAACAAAGGTGAGTCTTGCTCCCAGCAGCACATTTATGAGACTGGACGGTGAATGGGTTTGCAGAAGCTCCAGCTCCAGGGTTTCATATCTGAATGAAAACTATTATTGAAGAAGTTCTTTTACACCCGCCCACTTCACTGTGAGCCACGGCAGTGTCTGGCTGCCCGTGAACCAGAACAGAAAGAATTCTCTGCCATAACGGTCAGATACTTTGTCCCTGAAGAAGAATTTCAGCGTCCGTCTGTTCTTCACATTTCCAAACAGAACAGCCCAGACAGGATGAGTGTGTCGCCCCCTTAAATCCTCACAGTGTTGCTCTCAACACACTTGTGTCATTCGATCTGCGTGTCTGTCACCTCATCTAATGTTACTGTAGTAACTCTGAACAAAGAAGCCAAGTACACCAATGTGAGTTTTCAGATTTCTGTGAGTTTTCTTTCAGTATTAGAGTTATCTCCTTCCAATAGCTTTTAAACTGAGCTTTCACAATCCCTGGAAGTATCAACGTTAACTTTTTCTCTACACTCTGAATTTCAACCTTTAAAAAAGTTACGAAAATCTTGGTGCTGTACATCCAGATTTACCAGTCAGGTTCAGCAATGATTTAAATTTAAGGCATCAAGTAGAAAAAAAGGATTCAAGATGTTTACTTTTTTCATGGATGATTTTACCTAATACCAGAGAAAATAATTGCATTCACATGTGAAAAGGGAAAAGTTAGTTGAATTTATTGTCACTAAAATTGCACGGGGACTCTGAGTGAATGCTATATTTTTATGTCTTATTTTATTTTATTTTTTGGATTAAATCCAGGGAGTGCTAAGCTATATTCCCAGCTCTGTTTTTTTAAAACCTGCATATTCTTTCTTCTATGTTTCTTAGCTCATATTTGCTGTACACCATGGATACATTCATTGTGGGGAGCTGGTAGATGTACCTAACATGTCTTAATTCTTTCTACTTCTTCCTCTTTTCCTTCTCTCCCTTCCATCTCTAGTTCCTTTTCCCATTTGCAAAAAGTCAATCTCCCTATTTTGTAATAGCTATCTTTTATTTTGCTTTTTAAATTATTTATACTTTGGGTTTCTAAAATGCTAATCAGCAGCTCAGGATCTGTGAATTTCAATTTATTAGTGAGTTGACTAAACTTAGTGGAATCCAGGTGGACTCACAGTCTTTCAGGCATCCACACTAGTAACTCAGGAAAGGTTTGTTGAGCCTTATTTCAAAAACAAGCAGCCAGATATATGACTGAATTTTTAAGCCATTACAATCTAGGTGAAACTCTGTGTTTGCTCAAAAGCATTTAATATTGTTTTTTAATTTTTAGGTAAAGTAATTTTTAAATAGTAAATGTTTACATTCTAGCTAATCACATATATTAAAAAGTCAGACATAGATTTCATTCTACAATATTTCAGTAAAAGCCCAGTAGCTATATAAAAAGAAATTCCCTTTCAAAGGTGCAGTTTTATGAAATCTGTGATAACTGAAACACTAGCACAGTGGGAACTGATGATAAAAAGGAGCTGAGTTATAGCCAGGGACTGCAGACAGCTGGATACCAGCCCATTCCGGTGATAATAGAGGGACCCTGAAGCTTGACAGGCCATTGGACAATAGTACGCTTGTCAAAGGTCACACTGAAAGAAGTATCAAAAAGGATTTAGCTAGGGGTGGCGGCACATGCCTGCAGTCCCAACATTCTGGAAAGCTGAGGCAGGAAGATTGCAAACTTGATCTCAGCCTGTGCAACTTAGCAACCTAGTAAGACCCTGTCTCAAAATAAAAAATTTAAAACATGGCCTGGGTTGTAGTTCAATGTGAAGACCCTGGGTTCAATTCCGGCAAATAGATGAGTGAATGAATGAATGAATGTCAATCATCTACTAAACATCACTCCAGAGAACCAGAAGTGTGGCTTCTTTATCACTCCAAAGCAAAATTTTAAAGCAGCAGTATTTCTCACGTGGTGCAGAGAAAGTATTAATAAGTAAGGACAGCAATATGTGCTTCAGAAATCTTCACTGAGGACGTGTCAATATATATGTGAATTTCTACTAGTTCAGGTCTCAACACAACCATTTCCTCACATGCCATGGTAATAATGTAGAATGTAACACATCTCCTGACTAGAAGGTTCTCCACCATCTGCACAGAAACACTAGTGTCATCAGAGAGCAGATTCTGATACCACCAGCTGTGTCCAAGGAAGGGGGCTTCTGTAGAACTTTTTCCCCCACTGGGGCATCATGGGACTGGAGTCCAGCGGGCTTCCCAGCTATAGGGGAAATTGGCCCTCAGGGACCATTTCTCCAATTATTGAGAGACGATCTGATCGAAGGCATTTAAAAATGAAACCTGACCTACACTTCAACTCTACAGAATGATTTGCCTGCACAGAAGACATGCATGACCTTTAAATCTTAAATTATAAAATAGTTTGTTGAAAGTGTAATGTATTTAGCTTTTACCTAATAGCAGAAAGAAATGCAATCATCCCCTTGCAAAAGCCAGAAAAAGAAATAACAAAACAAGGTCCCATTTTCACTACTTATAAATAAAGCTACCAGCCACAAGGAATGAGAAGGGTTTCTTTCTCACAAATTCTATTAAAAATTTCAACTTCAATTTTAACAGACATAATAATAACAGTTCTATTCAAAGTTTAAGGGCTATAAAAGACTCCTAAGTATGAACCTCACATTTGCTCTCCATACATGTAAAAATGCTAATGTTTCTGCTAGTAATTTTACATAGTATATATTTATTTTGTTTCTATCTCACATGTTTTAATTACCTCTTTACTCTAGGAAAACTAATACACAAGCTTAGTGTAGTGCTGAAGAAACAACTTATGTGGGGAGAGGTAGGAAAAGTTAAGGATAACTTTAAAAACGGCATAGAATTAGTAAAAATGGTAATGCACAAATGAATTTATTCATTCCACATGATTTTTGAGGGTCTGCCCTATGAATTTTGACTCACATTTATAAACCATTTGCAAAACTGACCTACTAAATATCAAATCAAGGCTTTGATTACTAATTCAGATGTATATCTGGCTTCATGCTAAGGTCTATGCTTTTAATGGTGGATATATGGAAATCAACTCAGAGACAGAAGTGTCTACTCAGGACATTAATTCTGAACTCAGTTGCTTCCACTGTGGGATACTCAGCAATGGAATGATGTGATGATCATATTAATCTTTATACTTTATAATCCAATCAAGGAAGGCACAGTTCTTGTAGATGAACTTTGAGCCCATTTGTAATATCAAGCAGCAAGAAATATCATCAAGAGGAGCAACTAGCATTGGTATCTGCATTAGTTAGAACGCAAATGTTTGCTACTTTCATTTAGCAAGTTATCAAAGTCACACATGTTTGACACTGGCAAAGGCCACTTGGTCTTACAACATATCAGGTGACAGTAGATCTTGTCACTTATCAAATCTGTGGCCTTGGGTGAGTGTCCTAACCACTCTGAACGTGTTTCTTCATCTCTAGAATGGTACTTGGGACTTCCTTGGAGGATTAGATTCAGAATTCAATAAGATTATTGTTTAAAATGTAAGAAATTTTTCTCAATTAAAAATCATGAATTTCAATCATGAACGTTAGCTGGAGCTTAGTTCTCAGACCAAAAGAAGGGGTTATAAAGGACCTTACTGATCCATCCTAACATTTTTAATTAAACTGAATATTAGGTGGTATTAAGGAAGAATTCTTATTACTTCCCATAACTTCAATGAAGATATTGTGGTTCAAAAATAATCTTATGACCACAGAAGTCTTTAGAAGTGTCTCACGAAGTCACACATCTTTTCAAATGATTCAGGGGAGGTGAAAGCATGTGTGCATACAGAAGGAGGAAAAGGAGAGAAAGAGAAGAGAAAAAAATTGGGGGAAATGTTACTGTTGAATGTGAGTGGCAGGTACATGGGGTTCATTTTACCTTTTTTTGTATATTTGAAATTTTTCTAACTAAAAACTTGAGGAAGAACTAAAGAGATAATGTCATTAAAGCACGCAGCTCCTATTGGCTGCCGCCAGCTCTGGCAGGTTTCCCAGCCTGCCTGTCACACTCGCCAGTGTGTGAACAGTAGCTTGTGGCAATAGACGAGCTGCAAGTGTTTGTTTAAAAAAAGACAGAGGAGCAGGGAGGGGAGAGAGAAGAAAAAGAACTGACATCCTCCAAAAACGACGTCTCAGAGCCCATCAGAGTCAAACTGAGAGGAAGTGAGGTACTGGACAGCAGTACGGAAGTTAAGGACAGCCAATCTTGACTCTAACCTCCTGGATTTGCATCAGCGATGGGCCACAGATTTGCAGCCAGGTCACCTTGGGTGACTTATTTAACTCGTGCCTCAGTTTCCCCAACTCTACAATGCAGAATAAAAACATTATGGTTCCTGTCTCATAATATCATTATAAACATTAAATAAGATAAGGCCCTTTGAATGGTGCTTTATCTTAAGTACCTAAATGTTAGTCATTTATAACCAAATAATAACACCCTCCTATTTCAGTGTACTAATGAGAAGCACTGCTTCTATTTACTTAGGATGGTTCTGTCACCTGTTAAACAAAATCTAAACTGGGTGTGGTGGTGCATGCCTGTAATCCCAGTGCTCGGGAGGCTGAGGTCAGTGGGGGCTACATACAGAGTTCAAGGCCAGCATAAGCTACCTAGTGAGACCCTGTCTCAAAAACAAACAAAAAAACTATTAAACAAAATCAAAGGCACTATGTTTAGAAGCTTCCTTTAGTTTTTTGTTCTAGTTCTATCATTTTTACTAAGCATACACACACACTTATATTTTTGCTTTAGCCCTCTGCATAGAAAATTCTGATAAAAGCATTGAAATTTCCATACAAGTTTTTATTGTATTCGAAACCATCATTAAAGCTTCTTAAATTTTTACAAATCTAATATTTAAAGTTACAAATTCAATTAGTGCAAAATGAATTGCATGGTTCTGAACCTATGATAGCTGAGTTCCATCAATATGATACCTTCAGTAAATTAAAAATGGGATTGTTGGTTTCAGTGTTCCAGATTTTCAGAGAACAGCACTGGTTTGGGGTTTCTGTGGACTTCAGCTGATACCCAAAGCTTTAGCCTGGGCATTCTCTGAAAGTTTCCCCTCTTGTGTTGTCCCTTTGGAGATAACTGAACAGCTACAGTACTTTGCCTTTACAATAAGATGGTTCCTATGATAACCACCTGCACTCTTTTATCTCATTAAAACTCACACCCCTAAGACTTTAAGATCCAAATGGTGACCAATTCTCTTTTGACATTCCTGAGATAGTCCAGCCTCACAGTTTGCAAAGGCAGTTTATTCACTCCACATCTGATTTTCACAGCAGATCCCTAAGAGGTCTGCTCAGTTGCCAGCCCAAGTTTTTAGGTAAAGAAAATGGCAGCCATGGTGAGGAAAGCTTGTCAAAATCCTACAGGAAGTAGAAGCACTTAACTTTCCACGCCCACTCCGGCCATTGACCCACAGCCTCTCCCTGGGCCTGCATTTTCTCAGCTCTGTCTGGGTTTTGCAAAGACTTCCCCTATCTCCTCAGTTTGGCCAACCCAGGATGGACTCTGGGTCCCCCTGCAGGCAGCAACTAATAGCTATTTATTTGGAGCCCAAAATACATCTTGACAGGAGGGGAGCCACTGTCCTGGCTACCTACAGCTAATCAGATGGAAAAGGCAAGTCCTAAGAAGGCTATAAATAGTCAGATTTAAGTAAACTAAGAATATGAGTTCTTGTTACTGAAACATCTAAATCCCAAAGGGAATTCTAGCTGGACATGGGGTGCAAATTGATGATCACAGCACTCTGGGAGGCAGGAGCATTGAAAGTTTGAGCCTAGCCTGTGTAGCTCAGGGACTTAGCAAGACCCTGTCTCAAAATAAAAAAATTAAAAAGGGACTAGGAACATACGCCAGTAGTGCAGGAGCCCTGGAATCAATTCCCAGTACCTAGAAGAAAATTCTTCTTCTGGTCTTTCATCTATAGAAAAGTAGTTCAGTCTCTCCTGGCCTCAGTCTCCTCATATAGGGAGTGTTACTATTCCAATAACCCTCCAAGCTTTGCTGACCATGAAAGAAAGGAATGTGCGAGGATATGTCCAGCAGGATGGGCCCTGAGTGGGATCTTGATGGATATTTATAAAGTTGGAGGAAACCTCATGGATGAAAAAAATGTATAAATGTGAAACATGATATACAACAAGGAGAAAATATATAACCTTATAAATTAAATATCTTGATGTTAATTAAATACATAATGGCTTACATTCTGCAGTTTATTGTCTAAAGAGACATTAAAGCCATTTTACTAGAATTATCTTATCCCAAATCACAGCAGAATACAATATTTAAATATCACAAAATATCTCAAGTATCAGTAGCTTGGGCAGCAGGCTTAAAGATGTGTTTGACTGATCAGAAAAATTGAAGTTTTAAATTTTATGAAGTAGCCAGGTGTGGGGGAGCATGCCTGTAATCCCAGTACTCAGGAGGCTGAGGCAGGAGGATTGTTGTGAGTTCAAGGCCAGCCTGGGCTACAATGTGAACTCAAGGCCAGCCTGAACTGCATAGTGAGACCCTGTCTCAAAAAAATAAATAAATAAATTTATTATAAATAAATAAAATTATGAAGTACTAAGACTATGGTTCTGCATGTTACTATGAAGTGGGGGAGGAAATGGGTAATTTTCTAGAGAAGAAACATTGAGATAGTAGAATTGGGTAATCCCAGCACTCTGGAAAGCTGAGGCAGGAGAATCATAAGTTTGAGTTCAGCACCCAGCCTGGGCAACTTAGAAACTTAGCAAGACTTAGTCTCAAAATTAAAATAAATAAATACATAAACAGAGCTGAAGATGTAACCCGGTGTGAAGGTTCCGGTTGCAAACCCCAGTGCTACACAGAAAGAAAAAGAACAAGAAGAAGAAAAGGAGGAGGAAGAGGAGAAGGAAGAAGTGAAGAGGAAGGAGGAGGAGAAGGGGGAGAGGAGGAGGGCGGAAGAAGAGGAGGAGGAAGCAGAGGGTGGTGGCAGATTGGGACAAGTTTGAGCCAGGGAGGGGTTAGTGAACCACTGCACCTAGAGTATAAAGATTCTAGAAAAGCACGTGATGTGATCTGTGGTCACTAAACACACTCTTAGAGGTCCTAGGGCTGCCGTCTAATCCTCTCTCCAAAGTGCATATCTATCCTGAATACACATCCTAGTCTTCTACTGTGAGTACGACCTGTACTCACCAGCTGATTCTGGTAGGCTGTGACCGCCGTGAAGACTGTCTCGGGAAATATGAACGTTCTGAACTCCTCAGACTTCAGGTTGAGCAGTGAGGCCGTGTGATCTTTCTTCTTAATGATGTGCACCCGAGGCTGGTACTTATGCATCGAGTTCAGAATTATCTACGAGGAACAGATGGGAAGCACTGAATTGTACAGAGTTACGCTGCTAAACAGACCAAAGCACATGCAAGCAAAGACAGAACCATAAAATCTGAATTTCAAATTCAATTTGAAGATTAGGATCTACCCTGTGCTCTGTTAGGCAGATCATTTTCATATGAGACAGTGGAATCATCACTGTGCATCACATTTTACCAAAACCTGCAAATAATACAGGTTATTTCCAGGCTCTTTCTAAAATGAAAGGCTGTGGATGATACATTTTATTTAGTTTTTTTAAATCAAGTCTTTAAACTATTTTTGTTAGCATAGTTAGGCCAAAAAAAAAAAATGCACCACTGAATTTTCTAAAATAATTATATTCTAGGAGGCCAGGTTGTTATTTAGGGGGGGAAAGATAAAACAATTTAGAAAGCAGTGTGGTATTAACAGCTCTGCGTGAAAATCCCAAGTCTCCATGTTCTAACTCTTTAATCTTGAGCCAAATGGCCTCACCTCTCCTGCTTTTAGTTTTGTCAAATGCAAAAGCAGTAGCAACTTCATGAACATTAGACGACATAATCTTACGAAGCATACAAGAGTGCTCTGGGACTGGGAACTGTATTATAATGATGATGACAGCATCCTTGATTCCTAATTTCCAGTTATAAAACTAAAACCTCAATCACAGTACTGGCCATCTTCCATTCTGTAGCTCATAAAAGCTGCCAAATTCTTAGAAATCATAAACATACCTTGGTTAACAAGGCAGCTAAGAGATTATATTTTTTCTTTTAGCTTTTAAACAAAATGTAAACATCTGCCACTGTGAAATCTGAGAGACAAAGTTCATTTGTAGACATCAAATATTTCCCCCATCTTCCCTACTACCACCCAAATCTCTACCTAAATCTGCAAAACTGGGTCTTTCTTTGCTGGGATGGGTGGGATGGGGCACATTATATATGCTCCACCAAGCTCCCAGCACAGACCCCTGGGAAGCATTTGATAAATGCTTTAATGTGGTGGGATGGATGGCACTCGGTGTTGGTGGCTGCTGCTAATATGGTGACGGATGGCTCCCTTTTTTTCTTGGCTTTAGCAGAGTTAAATAGTAGGCACTGGGAGACAATTAATATATCCATGGACCTCTGTGGATTCCACCAACCTTGAATCAAAAGTACCTTTTTAAAAAATTGCATTTGTACTGAACATGCAGTTTTTATTTTTACCATTATTCTCTACACAATACAGTGTAACAGTTCTTTCTATAGTGTGTACAGAAATGTATTAGTAATATGAGGAGTCTAGAAATGGCTTAAAGGGTATGAGAGATAATGTGCAAATGCAGCTGTATTTTTTTGTTTTGTTTTGTTTTTTTCCGGTACTGGGAATCGAACTCAGGACCTTGCGCTTGCCAGGCAGGCGCTGTGCCACTGAGCTAAATCCCCAGCCCCGCAGTTGTACTTTATATGAGAGACCTGAGCATCCATGAGTTGTGCTTCTCTTGGGGAAACCTAGAACCAGGCTCCTGGGAATATGGAGGGACCGGCTTTATGACAAATTTTTTGTTGCCAGTCTCTTTAACTTTTAAACCAACTTAAAATGAGTGGGGTCGTGGGAGCTGAATTTGAACGTACTAAACTGTGTTTCAAACCAGAATAGGCACAGCTGAAGCAAATGATCTCTTCAATGAATCAAAATAAACTTTAAAAAATGATGTCATTTCCTCGTATAATGCATTTATTCCAACGATTTCAAAATGTCCCTGTTTAATCATAAGAGTGGGATAAACCTGAAGCAATAAAAGCAAGTGTTCGTTACCTGATACCTAGAAAAAAATCTTCAATAATCCTTATATACTCAACTGAGAAAATAGGAAGAATTTTCAAAGCACGTACTCACCTACCCATCTACCCATTCACAAACTAAAATGGAAAAGTCTGAGCTTTAAGTAAAACCCCCCTCCCCACACCCCTCTCCCTGAGGCCACGTTCCTTTGGGAATGGTTGCTGAACTGTCAGATCCCAGTGCTTCTTGACCTTCTGCCTCATGAGGCAGAGAAACACTAGTGGAAATGTAGATGCTGCTTCACTGAAGAAATAAATCAATCATTTGTCTAAAACTAAATGCATCTATAAGAGCTCTTCAGAACTGCTTCAAAAAGCTGGCTAAACACAGTATCTAAAACTCCTTCCTTGTACTTTTCAGAACATACTAACAGTGATGACAAAGGCTTATATTAAATCATAAAAGTTCTGAAGCTAAAATGGATATAAGCAACCATCTAAGACTAAACAATTTGTCAGGATCTAATCCTGGCACCATCTGGCGAGAACTCAGAGCTCCTGAAATTCAGCGTAGTACGATTCCCACCATGAGACCCCAAAAGAAAAAACATTTTCATTCTGGAGAGTGGAACCTCAAGTCTTTCAGCAAAGACCCAAATCATTCTTCTAAAGGTTTCACATATGGAAAATACAAGGGCCAGAAAAGAAGTTCTTTTGGAGCACAAGAAAGTTTAATATGAATGAGATTGAGAATGATCACTAATTTTACAAAAAAATATCACTCAGGCCGGGACTGTGGTGCACAACTGTAATCCCAGCAGTCTGGGAGGTTGAGGTAGGAGGATCGTAAGTTTGAGATCAGCTTGGAGAACTTAACAACTTAATGAGAGACCCTGTCTCAAAATAAAGAATCTTAAAAGGGTTTGCGATGTAGCTCAGTATTATGGCCCTGAGTTCAACCCCCAGTACCTCCCTCATCTCTCAGATACTTCATAATTCATACTAACCTGAAAAAAAATCTGTGAGTGGAAGAATCTTACATTTTAAAAAGAGATAAAAGAAAATTATGACAACATCCATAAAAATAAGATATCTTTTCAAATATATAAAAAACTAGAAGGTTGAGGGGTTGAAGGGAGGGGAGGGGATTGGGAAAACAAGAGGAATCAAAATATATCTTATACAGGTACAAGTTCCCTATGATGAATGTGATCATTATGTATATGTAAACTGTACCAATACACTTAATTTTTAAAAATGAGAACAATACAAATAAATACATAAATAAACAAACAAGAAAAACCCATAAGATTATTAACCTACTTTCAATACAGTATTTCAACAGCACCATCCACAGCCCTACCCTGACCTGCTGACTTGCTTGTTTGATGGTAGCAATGCTCTGAGTGATTTATTTGTTTCCAGTTCGATCCAACCATTTGAAACCATATCTAGAACTCTCTAATTAATTATCTACTTAAGTCCATCTTGAGGAAGATTTTGAAGCACTTCCTCTAAATTGCACAGATCCAATAAAGGCTAAAACCTTAAGTAACAAGAGCTTTATTTAATATAAGAGATGTGAGAATAATTATACCAGATTATCTAAGCCAAAGAAGGAGACTATGAAAATAATCATTTTTATTAAGAGTAAAGAGGCAAAATGGGAAGAAAATCTTTCCAGCTGCTCTTTTTGTAGAGGACTAATATCTAGAATACACAAAGGACTAAAAACAATCCCCCAAACCAATAATCCATTTCAAAAAATGTGCAAGTAAAACAGACGTTTCTTAAAAGAGAAGTACAGATGGCCAATAAGCATACGAAAAAATGTTCATCATCTTTAGCCACTAGAAAAATGCAAATTAAAACAGCTCTGAGATTCTATCTCACCCTAATCAGAACAGCCATCATCAAGAATACACACAAAAGTCAGATTCTGGCAAGGCTGTGGGGGAAATGAAATCCTTCTACCATTGTTGGTGGGAATGTAAACTAGTACAACCTCTACAGAAATCAGTGTGGAGATTCCTCAAAAAACGAAAGCTAGAAATTCCATTTGACACAGCTATCTCCCTTCTGAGTATCTTCCCAGAGGAATTAAAGTCATCATACTGCAGTGGTACACACGTATCCATGTTCATAGCAATGTGATTCACAGCAGCTAAAATGTGAAAACGCCGAGATGCCCATCAGTGGGCAAATGGATGGAGAAAATGTGGAATATGAAGAAAAGAATGGAATATATATAT